AAGGATGGACATATTTGAAACACGGACTTGGGGGGGGAACCAAGGGCAACACACGTAACCTAAACATCTGTACCCCATAATATGCTGAAATAAAATAAATAAATAAAAAATAAAATAAAATAAAATGTGTCTGCCCAAGATGTGTGTCTTACCCAGGGAACAGCCAGCCCACACAGCCAACGCAACATCTTGGTGGCATTGTTCCTCTCCACCATGCCTAACGTGAGCAGCTTCCTTCATGTCAGGGTGGACGCCAGCCCTGTACCGGTGCAGACAGTGCTGGGTGCTGGTGAAGGAACGCTGCATTAGCGAGCTGCAGAGATGCAGCCTAGAGCACTAAGGCTTATCTGAGAGATGCATAGGTTTCTGTTTCTTCAGATCTGTGCTTTGCTAATTTTGCTGGTCTGAACCCGAGGATGCCTCTGGAATTTCAGGGGACGTTGGGGTGCTGAGAACACAGGGTACTGAATGCCCAACCCCAGCTTCAATTAGATACAAATAATCTTGTAGGTTTTTTGGATCAGTTTTTCAGTTGCTCTTGAGTGTGTGTGTGTGTGTGTTTAGGGGATCCTTTACTAGAAAGAACATCTGAAACTCTAAATACTGTCAATTTTATCTATGTTCTGTTCGATCCACCTCCAAAATATATCCTGATTCCACCCACTTGTCATGACCTCCTTTTTTTTTAAGAGATGGGGTCTTGCTATGTTGCCCAGGCTGGCCTCAAACTCCTGGGCTCAAGTGATCCTCCTGCCTCAGCCTACTGCATAGCTGGCTGTACAGGTGCATGCATCACCACTCCTGGCTAATTAAAACAAAATTTTTTTTAGAGATGGAGTCTTGCTGTGTTGCCCAAGTTGGTCATGTGTCATGACCCCTTTAATCTGAGTTCCCACCATTTCCCACCTTCCCTACTGGCCTCCCTGCTGCCGCCTTTTCTCCCCACCCAAGGCTCAGCAAGAGTTTTCTACAAAAGACCACCAGATAGTATCTTAGGCTTTGTGGACCACACAGTTTCTGTTGCAACTCCGCGACAATCATGCAAGCCTGCCACCGCAGCACAAGAGCAGCCACGGACAAGAAGTAGATGCATGGGAGCGGCCATGCGCCAGGGAACCTTTCTGCGCCAGCACAGGCGGGGGCTGGATCTGAACTGTGGGCCAGTTTGCCGACTCCTGCCTGACCTCGTGGCAGAATGGATGTTTGTATTTATGCCCGTTGGGAAAATGCGTAATGGTTGTTTATAAGATACATATTTAATCAATTACAGTCAGCCATCAAATAACATCATTTCACACGCAGTGCAGGACCCTCACGAGGGCCCACTCCCGGCTCCCCCATCTGTACTGTTGTCGTCCATTCACTTTACATGTTCTGTGAACCCACAGTGCATCACTGCAATGTTTGCTCTAGAACATCAGTATCTCAGAGTGATTAAAAATAAAAACATGTCTTTTATATTTCTTTATTTCTGGAGATATTCATTTTTTAGTGTACATCCAAGTCTCTGTCTGGAATCACGTTTTCCACTTGCAGAACTTATTTTAACATTTCTTATTGTGCAGGTCTGCTGGTAAAGAATCGTTTTTGTTTGTTTGAAAAGTCTTTATTTCATTGTCATTTTTGAAAGATACTTTTTCTAGGTATAAAATTCCTTTCAGTACTTTAAAGCTATCCATTATCTTCTTTTTCTTTTTTGACATCTACTTTTTTATTAATGTGAGTTTTTAAAGACACGCTTCCACACCAGTGTGGAGAGTGACAGAAGGGATTCTACGCCATC